AATTTAACTTTATAAACATAAAATATAAATATTATAATATTATATTATATTAATAAACTATAAAAAGTTATAACTTATATAATTAATTTATATAATTATATATTATATCATATATTATAAGTCTATTTAATTTTAAATCAGACTAAATTAATAACCAGTCATATTTAAGATACAATTAAGTATAATTTTATAATTTTTGATTGATTAAATTGATTTTATCAAATATGATTGGGATTTAATTTATAATATGAATTATAAATAACAAATATATTAAGAAAATTTAAGTGCAAAAAAAGTTATTACAATTTTATAAATAGTTTTAACATATATAATATTTAAAATTTTATATATATTATATAGTAAAATCTAAATATTAATGATAAAAAGTTCTTTTATATAGATTTTAATTAATTTAAAATACTTTTAAGAATGTTTTCTACTAATTTCAATAATTGGTTAATCTTATATATTTTTATTTTATATTTTTATTACAAAAAATAAAACCTTAAATTTGTATTAACTTTAATTAGCTATATTTTTTTTTATTAGACTTGATTATACTAAAAGTTTATTTAAAATTTATTCATATTTTAGAGTAGAATAAAAAATAATAATTTTTTATATTAAATAAGTTATTTAAGTAATTATAGTATAAAAAAATAAGTATTCTATTTTTAAAAGAATATAAAATAGTTTATAAAGAATTTGAAAATTTAGAAGAATTAAAAATATAATTAGAGTAGTAGATAAATATATATTATTATAAAAAATATATTAAGTAAAAATTCAAAAGTTTATTTTACTTAAAAAAATATTATGTTAAAATAATAGGAAAAATTTTATTAGTTTTAATTTAAATTAGTTTAATTTAGTAAAATATTAAAGTTTTCAAAAATTCTTCTTTTTTAAAAATTATTAATATCTTTTAAATAATTTTATTATTCTATTTCCTTTTTTTTTAATTATATTTTTAAAGATTCAAACTTTTAAAATTAAAAAAATTTTAATTAATTTCATTTAAATTATTTTATTATAATAAAAAATGCTTTTTGTATATTTTTAAATGTAAACTATTTTTTTTCAAATCACTTATTTATAAAAAAAAATAGTATTAGATAATAGATCTTATAAAGATACTCACATTTTTTAATATATTGATTATTTTTTTTTAGATTTTTTATCTTTTATTTTTTTATTTTCTTAAATTGTTAAAATTTTTATTTTATTAAAAAAACTATTTATTAAAAATTCTAAATTGTAATTTTATGTTTTAAATAAATATTAATTCTTTTAAATCATTATCACTTAGCTTATATTTTTTGATTTATTTGATTTTTCTTTTTATTTAATTTCATTATATTTAGTTATAAGATAAGATAATTTTATTTTTAATTTATTTCTATAGATTTTTGAAAAAAGCTAAGTAATAACTTTTTTAGTAAAGTTTGATTTGATTTTCTATAGCTAATAAAACTTTTTTTAAGAAATTTAATAATAATTTTATATTATTATTTTTTTATCCTATAACATTTTTAATAGTAACAAATTGAGAAATACTTTTTTAAATATCTTTTCATTTTTTTTTATTAAATATTTTTAGTTTAATAGATAATATAGTTGTTAAAATAAGTTCTATTACTTTTTTTAAATCAAATAAAGGTGATTGTAAAGTAAGAGTATATAAATCAGAAATTAAAAAAATAGTAGTTAAAGAAGAAGTCAAAGTAAATGATAGAATAGATGTTAAAGAAGTAAATTTAAGTTATTTGGATTTGATACAAAAAGCTCTTATAATTTTAAAGATTTTAAAGCAATAAAATGAAATTTTGAGTTAAACATTTTCTTATTCAACATGAACTTTCAAAAAAATATGTTTAAAAATCAATCAAAATAAAGATAAAATTCATATTTTTTATTATTAAATATCAAAATAAAAATAAATGCATTATTAATTTTAATAAAAAATAAAATTATAAAATTATAATATATAAATATTTTAATTTTTTTTTAAAATTTATAATCCTAAATAATATTAAAATTACTTAATATTAAATTGTTCAATATTTTAAGAAACTTAGCAATTTTTTGATGTAATAATCAATCAAATAGTATTATTCTTAATAGAAGCATATTTGGATTAAATCATTTATTCAAATAATCATTATTTTTATAAAAAAAGTGGGTTAAATTTAACTTTATATAATAATGATAAGTGTTATTTTATTATTATTATTATTTGCGTTTAAAATAGTATTTATTTTTGAATAATTTAAAATTTTCTATTTATTATAAGTTAAATATAACTATAAATTTTTGAAGTTTGATTTGAAGTTTGATTTGATTGATCAGATCATTTTGTAAAACGCGAAAGCAATAACCAACGATAAAACATTCTTAAAAAAAAAAGTTCGGACCAATACATAATTTGGATGATACCGATTTTATTTGTTGATTGGCCGAAAATAAGCCACGTTATTGACATATTCAGCCAATCAAGTTCATCCTTCGTCAGCCATATACCGTAACAAAAAAGATTTTATCATTATACCAACCAAAATAAGCTAGATCAACATTTTTATAAATAAAGTCACGTGACGCGTACTATCGGCGCCAAAGACTTACCATAGTTAGACTAGTGTTTAAATGTCATTGGGAATCGATAAATGAAATTCCGAACATATTTTTTTGTTGTTGAAAGCTTTCTTTGGAAAAAGGATATGGTTAGGTTCCTTTTAATTTAAATAGGTACCAAACGTTACAGGAATCTCATTGACTCTCATTCAATTAAAACTTGTATAACCATTAAATATTCACGGCATTTCTCCTTTTTTATTTCTTGGCAACAAGAAAATTAAATTTTTTTTTTTTTTGTGATTAGTAATAATTTAAAAGAATTTGATTAAAAAGGGAATAGAGAATTATTTTAAATGTAGATATCTTTTTCTGTTTGTAATACGAAGAATATGAAGAGTAATATAATAAAATTATTTAATCAAGTTTTTTTTTTTTTTTTTTAATATTACAAGTAAGGTTAGTATTATGATTTGCGAAAAATTTTAATAGATAATTAATAGATAAAAAAAAATTTTAATTTTATTTTTATCATAAATACAGGAAATCAAACAGGTATCGAACAATTCAACCTTTGTTGAGTATTTGTGGTACAAGTACGACATTATTGATTATCTAGCACCCAAAAAAAAAAAAGAGATCTAAATTGTTACAAAAAAAAGGGTTGTACTGTGCGCTTTGTGCTTAGCTGCAAAGACTTTGGGCGAAAAAAATGCAAGAAAGATCCTTCATTCTTTTGAAAATTAATTTGATTAGAACAAATTGGTAAGAAAAAAAAAAATACTTGTTTGTAAATCCCCTGAATTTATGGCTGAACATCTCTCTTAAGGATATAATTGAAACAAGGGGTACTATTTAACTTGATGATAAAATACCAACCCAAACGAGTGATCCAATTCCTTTGATTTTCAAACTGATTTCCTTACTAGAAAAACGTACATTGCGAGCTATCGCATTTTTGCATTTTACTGTGAGTTCGCGTGTAAATAAGCGAATCCTGCAATTCTGCATTTGCGTAGAAAACAAAAAGGAACTCGAATTAAAAAATCCATTTGGAATAGGATTTGCGAGCTAACTAAATTTACGAGGAAGATTGATATGCAGTAGATCCAACACGAAAAAAGAAAAAAATGATTATTATTATTATTTTTTTGCCCACGCTAATATTTAGAGATTGCGTTTTTTGTATGCTCCGAGTACAAAATATTACAATAAATGCATTTTGATGACATAAAATTTAAGCTTCTTTTTGTGTATGTGGGGATTTAAAGAGGCTTTTTAAAGTTATACAAAGTATGTGGCCGTTATGCACATCAACTTTGTACTCGTACTCCATCATCCTCGATCGGAAATAATTTTGATTGTGAGCCTGCGCCAGCAATTCAAGAAAGGTCTAGCTTAAGGTTAGAATTCATTTATATAAATTTGGTACCCTAATTACTATATTAAGGGCCGCAGCGGGACCCATTTTTTTTTTTTAGACAGTCGAATGCCTGAATTGTATTTTGAATAATGCACTTTGATCACCATTAAATGTCACAGCGTTCATCCGTCGCTCATACTTCCTCTCTTTACATGGTTTAGTTTCAACTTTTACGGGAAGAGTAATGATTAAGGAAGTAGCGGAATTTAAAAATCATCATCATTTGAGCAATTTTTTATCATTTATTGTCTTGAGAGACTAATCAAACAATCGGAAATTATAACCCGCGGTCAAAAAAGAAAAATTTTTTTTTTCATATTTGATAATACAGAAATTGAACTAATTCAAGGCAACCCTGTTTTCTCCATCTTCTCTAACGTTTAAAACGAAATGGAATTTTGAGGAGCTTCCCTTAAAAAGTAATAAAGTTCTTATCTCAAGGAAGAATAAATAATAATAATAATATAGTTAGGGGTGAATTTTTTTTCATTATTGAATCAAAATATTACATTTTATTTATTATAGATAATATAAATTTATTGTGTCATAATACAGCCGAAAACATCTTTTAAATGGCTAATTCAAAAAAAAAAAAAAAAAAAAAAATTTTTTGAATACTTCCGAAAACAGCCTAATTTAAGTATATCACCTATGATATCATAAATCCCAATGTTTGAACAATTATAGTTTTTGAGTTTTGATCAAAAAAGGTCTTTTCTTTTTGTGCGTCGAAAATATATATATAAATTTTTTTTATTTTTTTTTTCCCCCACATTTTCTTTTCTGTGTTTCTTCCGTTCAGAGTTGTCTTAATAATTTCTTTTAGCTTTTTCTCTCTTTGTTCACTGTTAACTTTTTCTATCACAATATTCTTTTAGCTTTATTTTTTAAGAAAAAATTTTCAAAACCAACCTACTTTTGGTAATTGAAGATATTAATAATAATAATAATAATAATAACTTTTTAAATCAAACACGTTAACAAGTAGTAGTAGAGACACGTACAAATGAATACCGAACAAGCAGCAGCAGCTTACTTTAACCAAACGGGAGCTTTTGTTCAAGCCCAGCCGCAACAACAATCAACACCACAGCCTATTCGTCTTGCGCATCCTACCACTTATCACTTGCAACAAACTCAATTGAGAAATCAGAAGCAAATCACTAGCGATGGTGCACCACCAACTCCCAACAATTCCTACCAGTCTAAAAATACTCTTTCAAACAATTCTTTTTCTAGTAGCACAATAGACCCTCAAATTTTATCTATGGGTCAACAACTTCAACAACAACAACAACAACAACAATATATAAACCCTATAAAACAAGAAACGGACTCTCCGGACCTTAGTCAAGAAATGGACTTTGATAATTCAAACACAGTGATGTCCCCAATTTCAAATACACCATCCCTTGGTTCTCCACCTACTCATCCTGACGCCTTTGACCCTGACGATTTCGGACGATCTTATAAACCAACTTCTCATTTAGAAAGTGGGTCACCTTTTGGGGAGTCGCCTGGTAATGCTTCAATTTATTCTTACGGTGCTGACAACTTAGACTACTCGTATCTTGAAGAATTTAGTCCAATGAGCGCTCCTACTACTACTTCTGCAATAGGTCCAATGGATGTCAAGTCAAACATGAACAATTCAAATACAAAATTCTTCAGACATCCTCACAACAGTTTCGGTGCTCAAATCAGCATGTCTCTACCAGTGCAACTTGGAAATGAATGGTTCGGAAGTTTAGATACCAATAACTTCCAACCTGGCGCTCACCCAAGCTCATTGCAATATCCTGCTACTGGTGAAAATATGCAGTTGATGGCTTCTGGTTATTTGGATTCCGATGAAAATGATAGTGCTCAAAAACAGTATGTATTCATTAATCTAAAAGTGGCTCTGTTTATTCCTTTATTCGTGCCTTGATTTTTTAATGCGGATCGGTGAATTATTTCGTTTGACAGGATGTAAAATCTTTTTTTTTTTTCTTTTTTTAAAAGAATAGTCTTATAATCTTTTCTGATTACATGGGAATCTTTATCTTCCAACGTACTAATGATGTCAACGTAATTATTTTTGTAGGGCTTTATTATATGAGAAAAGGCGTCGCCGACGCGAGTCGCACAATGCCGGTGAGTCATATATATAGACGGTATCAAATACCTATTATATACCATCTTTTATTTGAAAAAAAACAAATTTAAAAATGAAATTTATAAATTTTTTTTATTTATTTTCTGTTCTTAAGTTGAACGTCGTCGCCGAGATAACATTAACGAAAAAATCCAAGAACTGTCAACTTTATTACCAGACTTATATATTGATTCCGCTAATAAACCCAATAAAGGAGTGATTCTTCGCAAATCCGTTGATTACATCCGACATCTTAAACAGTTGGTAGAACAACATAAGAATCGCAATGTAGAGTTGGAATCCAGAGTTCGGGAATTATCAAGCTCAGGAATACCTATTGATAGTAATTCCGGTTCGACTTCAAGCAGAATGGATTTGAACAATTCATCATCAATTGGTGGCCTTTCTGGATCTCCTCATAATATGTCATAATGGTATTTTAAAGTTACAAGTGAAATATGTTCCTCAGAAGAGGAATCTTTGGTTTTATCATTTATTATATATACATAGTTTTCTTTTATTCTTT